TAATTCCAGGTGCGTTGCCGACGCTCCGCGAGTCCACCTTACTGCTGCTTCCACAGTCACGTCTAAAACAGATTGAAGAACCACACCACTAGTGGGGAAAATGCCTTCATCAGTAAAACGATGAGGGATCTTCAAAGTCAAAGTCATCTCCCTGTCTACCCTGTAGGTCGGCGAAGCCATGATACCAAAAGCCAGACACTGGAACTACACAAGCGCAGGAACCTACGAACTTCCTGAAACTTGCTTCCTGGAGAGCTCGAGCAGAACAATCTTGCTGGAAATTTTCATTGTCACTCTGCAAAATCTGCAGTATAAAATAGAAAAACCACTCGAGAGTGGCAATACTTGAACCTCCCACGTCAGGTAAGTTTTTTTGTTTTTTACACTCGTACAGAAAGGGATTTCTGTAGCATTAGTTTTGTAGGGTACAGTGGTACGCGAACTTTGCTTAGGTGTTGCTCCCCACCTGCTAACCATACTGGACAATCTTTACATTTATGACAACACATTGACACAAAATACATTCAGCACAACTCAAGGTTGAGTAGACTGGTAATCCTGAAATCAATACATTTAAAGAAGACCCAAGGTCAGAAAGAGCGCTTCCTTTTTTTGTGTGTGTTTTTTATTTTTTTGAAGAGCACATATAACGATTTGGAAGCAGTTCTTTAATGGAGTTTACTGAAGAAGGAGACAGCTAGCGTGAGGCCAGCCTTCTTATACTGTTCTTCAGGGGAAAAAAGGTCGTATTGACGGTGGTCAAATTCAGCACAGAGATTTTTAGTTTCAGCCGTACACAGCGAGGAGATGACTGTGTGTGATCCTATCCTCGATGGGAGGCGGCCCGCAGTACCCAAGTGTGGTTTCCCAACAAGACGGTTGAACCGACAAAGAGATTTCAGCTGCTCTACTGACACATCACTCTTGAACATGGGGAACTTATGACTAAGGCAGACATTAATCTTCTTTGCCACTTTTTCAAGTGCTGGACGGTGAACCAGCTTCAGCGGAGAGTAAACGTCAGACGGGTTGTCCACATCTGACAACAGATGAGGAGGCTGTTCAATTACAAGAGGAGAGGTGCCAGTAACTTGACGGGAAACTAATCTGCTCGCAACAGCACTATTGCTAGCACTGAAGCAAGGGACGTGTGATGCGATCGCAATAGCACTATCGCTAGCACTAGAGCAAGGAACATGAGAATCTTTCAAGACAGCACTATTTCTTCGACATCCATTTGCTTGGGATGAACTTGTAGAGGCCTCTTTCTCGTAGCCACAACTGGAGAGCAGTTTTGGACGGTGACTTTGTCTTCTTCCTGTCCTTTCGGAAATTGAGAACGAGTTTAGCACCACTGTTCCAATCCACGACAGCCCAACGAGGGTTGGGATCCAGGCGGAGAAAGTACAGCAGGGGATCAAAAATCTCCACGGGTACACCATGTGGGATCGTCAGCGGGTCAGCGGTCTTCTGGGAAACTTTAGAAAGATCAGCATCACCAGCATCACCAGCATCACGGTTGACATCGATCGAGCTGTTAGGCCCACTTCTGTGCAGGTTGACATGTGAATGCTTCATGATCACGGTATTTGTGCGGCTCGGCTAGGATGCCCGGCTTCACTTTATTACAAAGAATAAACATGTTTTGTTAGTTACAAAATATCCCGTGTGGGATGTGCTTTTGGCACTCGAGTATGTGGGATCGGCCCGCGCTCTGAAGTTGACAACGCCCCAGCTGAGCTCAACTCTCGAGCGTTACAATTCTTTTTTTCCCCTTCTTCTTACATAACGATTAATTAATTCAATTAAAGAGAGGATCAGGTTGAAGCAGTGAACATCCTGCACAAATTCCCCGCCCACAGCACTGAGTGGTTCCCTTCCGCAGCTGAGAGCAAGAGTGCTTGCCCAGTCACTCGCCACTCGAAACCGGTCTCCTCTGAAAGCAATAAACAAAAGGTTTACTTCTTTATGATTTAAGCAATTAAGAAGAGAACTAGATCTTACTTTTAGATTGTTACCGCTAACCTTTGGCCTTGAAAATGGCACAAGATGCCTTTAAAGGCCCAAAAGAAGTTTGTGCTCGAGCGGTTATGAGTGACTAGAATCTCGTGGCCGCGTGAAATTAAAAAATTGACGTTTTGTACAAAGTACGTGACAATATTATTAGGTTTTGATTCTACATCAAAAAAAGATTTCGAGTACTTCGCTATGGAAATCAAATGATAAAGAAGGAGGCTGGCTTGGTCAGACTGAGGGGAGTTCATGACTACGCCATCGTATGGGAAAGGTTCTTCAAAACCTAGTTGTCTCGCTAGCACAGTCACAAAGTCCCACAGTCCCCCAGCAACCGGACAAAGCCAAAACAGATGTTGAGTGTTCTCGATGGCTCTTCTATCGCATGAGCGACAGAAGGAGTCGGGAATCACTTGCCATTTAAATAATTTAACTTGTTATGAGACGGATGATTTTCCAGTTCAGGTCAGTGATCTTCGTGTCAACTGTATTTGCATATGATTGTCTATAAGAATTTCTTAAATCAATGTTATTCCTTTTCATGAGTAGAGACACATATTTGTTTTCATCATTATAGTATAAAAAAATCTATTGGCCTGTTTTAGTAAGGGGCTTGAAAATCGGTGCAGCTTGGAAACCATATTCTTGTTCCGCGAGTGTCAAACCGGCTTAGTTGTCTTGATACGTCTGCGCCACGTGATTGGAAGACTCCGCATGACAGTAGATATTTCTTTGTCCAAGCGGTTGTCTTTCGGAGGGTCTCGAAACAATTCTCGGATCGTATTACGCGGAAGAAAGCCGGTAATAAACTGATAACTGATGTCTTTTACGAACAAAATTTCATTAGATTGACCTTCCGGTGGTTGGGTCCTTAATCAAAGGATTATCAAACAATGGCGCTTCAAGAATCTGGTCTATCGTCCATGAGCCATATTCTTGACGTGGTTTCGCCCAATACATTCCAGCTGATTAAAAAATCCTTATAAAAAGGAAGCATCGTCTGAAATTTATATGGAAATAGATTGAGATCAAAAATTTGAGCACCCAGATTCATACCGACGTTTTTGCCTAGGAAATGAAAAGCCAAGTGTCTCCATTTAATTAGCAAATCGTCGGACAATAGCAATTTAATCCATTTTAGTTTAAGTGCTTGACTTTGTTTAATAAAGTCAATAACTCCCTGTCCATGTGCCAAACTTTCAAACTCTGATCTATCAGGCTCTTTCAGCTTCGCAGATTTGCGACCCACTGACTGCTCGTAATGGAATTCGCACGACACCACTTTTGAAATGGACAGCTCCCCAAAAACAATGCATATTGCATTCCATTCAGCGCCACCTTCGTCCAAAACCCAACCGGTTGGGTTGAAAACATAGCTACTGTCGCCTGAGATGTCTTGCAAAACCTGCAAGAAAAATATTTCCCCCTCGTTTTCAAATGCTAGCGTTAAGATTAACACAAACGATTAACACAAACGCAAATGCAAGGCCAAGAACGTTTTTGACGTTAACAAGTACTTTTGCGCTTGGGTTTCTTAATAATTTCAGCAGAGTGTTGCACGTGAACAATGTTTGTGTTAGCTATAAGAACCAGGCGCAGGCGAAACAGGATATTATATATTTGGTGGTTTTTCGGTTATAAGGCTATTGAAGTTCTTAAACAGGCTATTATTTGATAAAGAAAAAACTGTTTTTGTTATTGGCCTCCATCAATTGCTTTGTATACACCTAATTCAAAACAGGTTGTTGTCGAGGCGAAAGGACATTCCAAGATGGAAAGGAATTATGGGTATACTTCTAAACCTGAATAGCAGAGGTGTTTACATCTCATTACTCTCCTCAAAAACATGTAGGTTACTGTTTGAATATTCAGTCTTACTTAGAGTCGATGAAACTATATCACCTCCATTATTATTTAAAGGCCTACCCATATTGCTTTCCGTCTTGGAATGCCCTATCGCCTATGACATCCTTTTTGAAATAGGTTTATACCTATTTGCCAAAGGCGATACGGGTCAAAAACATGGAGATTGTGGTTGAAACATTAGGTGTTGCTTCAGTTGTAGTCGACAATTTTGATTATTCATGTTTAGTAGTATACTCATAATTCCTTTCCGTCTTGGAATGACCTATCGCCTTTGTTCACATTTGTGATATGCATAAAAGGATTTTTGCTCAGATGAATTTGCTTCGGTTGGTTTTACAGTGCGACGTGCCGTACCGTAGTCACTTGAACAAATTTTTGATGAATTTTTGACATATTCGTGACATATTTTTATTTAATGGAACCAATCGCGTATGAGTTTGTTTTGAGAGGCGGAGACTAAGGCAGAGACTAAGGCGGAATCAGACATGCCTAGGAAAGTGTGGCTAACCAACTTGTTATGGATGACTTTGTTTATTTGCAATACGCAGGGTAAATCACCAGAGGGGACAACACCGTACGCAGTCTGTATCTTATCCCGGTTCCATACTTAGTATATGGAGGGTTTCATGAGTTTTTGAACTTCTATATTATATTCCAATGCATCGTTTGTGACTTTAGGAGCTATGCAAAATTGATCGGAAACGAAGGCAGGACAAATTACACACATCAAATATGTCACGAATATGTCAAAAATTCATCAAAAATTTGCTCAAGTGACTACGGTACGGCGCGTCGAACTGTAATGGACCAATAATTTCAATTGGGGGTGGGCTAGCGACCGCCAAAGATCTGAAGTACTACAAGGATTCAAAAAGGTC